TGGGCTATGAAACTGCATACCAGACATTTTTATTAAAAAATTTAAACCTTTAATGAAAATTCGTTGAACTTTCGGTAATTTTGTATACTGTTTGAATATTTTATTTGTATTGTTTTTGTTATTGCATGCCATCATGTTTTGCGTCTCCGCTTGGCAAACTCATCTTGGTTCTGTTGAGGCTAAAAATAGCATTATATGTTAACTATTTTCGCACATTAGATAAAAAATATAAATCACCTTTTTTTTATTGTGCCATCCTTTGAATTGGATGGGATACAAGGTAACTCTTCAGATCATCTCTTAACTTAAACGCATTTTGTGACGCATTGTTCGAACCTATCCGCCTAGCTCTTTGCAAGGGGGTCGAAATATCACTCCGCCACAATCCTCTTCTGATAGAGTCGCCGTCCTCCTGGTCAACATATTCCGGCGGGCAATAGCTACCATCGTGCATCTTGAGAAAATTGTGAAGGAGAACCGTAGCCTTTACAATTTTCTCGGCAGATAAAGGGCTCATTTGTAAGGGATTTAAAAGGATTCTCCATCGACAAGCCAAAATCCCAAATGCATTTTCTATAACACGGCGTGCTCGAGATAAACGTTTATTAAAAATTTGCCTCTCCAGAGATAAATTGGTTCCTAAAATGAGTAAATGAGTTTAATTAGAAAATACTAATTTTTAAATTGTTCATACAAACCTGGGTATGGCCTCATTAAAAATGGCTTTAACGGGAACGCATTATCTCCAACAAAATAATGGGGAAAAGTTATGTCAGAGTCTGGTAGCACATCGTTTTCAGGAAGATCCAGTTTTCCACTATAGAGCTGTCTCCCAAAGCCAGAATTCCATAAAACGCCACCATCACTTTGCGAGCCGTAAGCTCCAATATCAATGCAAGTGAAAGTATAATTCGCATCACACACCGCCAGCAGAACAATGGAATAGTTGCCTTTATAATTATAAAAAAGGGAACCTGAGTTTGATGGGCAAAATATCTTTATGTGCTTGCCATCAATTGCACCAATACAATTGGGTAAATTCCA